GATATCGCATGTTTTATATATATTTATAAAAAACTTTACATTTTACATACAACAAAACACCATATTTCTGAGGCCTGTGATCAAAGGTACCAAAAATCTTGAAAAATATCTTTTTTTTTTGGAGGAAAAAAAAAAGAGACAAAATAAACATTATGCACACTAAGCGTTGGCTACAGTATTACAAAGAGAAGGTTTAACAGAGGTTTGTAGAAAGGGCTTGCATAAGACAAAAGGGGTGTGGAGGAAGCCCAGCCTCAGGCAGGGAAGGCACTAAATCTTCTCAATAAGAGAGATAGCACAAGAGAGAACCTGGAGATCTCGACTTCGAAGTCTTCAAACACAACTTCCCTTGCTCCTCACACATCATCCGAAACACAAACCGTCCGTTCAGTTCAGCCTTGCAGCACTTTGGAGATAAAAAAAAAATAACACAACGCCATGCAAATATACTTAAAAGGATTAGGAATGAACGTTTAAGAAAATGACTTGGCTGTGTGAATCTGAATAAACGGGCATTTCAGTCATCATAAAGCAGACAGCGCCAACAGAGGGCACTGTTCCACAACAAATCAGACGTCAAACATTTAGTGCAATGGATACCTTCATCTGTTTTAGCTTTTAGTCCTCGGGTTTTAAAGATGATGTCAAGTACGGTGGCCAAATTCATTCCCCTCCAAAGCGATAAAATCGGACGTCAAACAGCATGCCAGTTTGATTTCTACAGGACAGACTAAAAATTCATTCACTTAAGCTTCTCATCTGGGAGCTCAAATGCATTTCCAATTCGTTCTTCCAAGTCAAGCAACCCACAAATCGGACTAAACCCAAGTGACCACAAATATCATTTGTGATAGAAATGTATTAATTATGAGGTCAGCAAATATGAAATAATACCTTAAACCGTGTGCGGCAATCAGAACCCACCCTCGAAAGGTGAAATAAATGACTTCTTAGCAGTTCAAAATGGCCTGAGTATAGCAGAGGCGAAGGCGATCTAAGGAGTTTTCCGAACCCCCCTCCCCCTTAAGATTAAGGCATGGCTGGGTCTACATGGGACTTGATCGCTGGGATCGGCATTGACGTCAAGAAATAATGTTCTCCGCTGGCAGGAAAACCTCTGAGTAGCAGCAGTAGGCCTAAATATCCATCTGTCGATTTTGGGTCATGGTTACGCAGCGAGTGGGATTCGCTGAAACGACATGACAGACCTCAGATCTCCTCATTTCGGCTGCCTCGAAGGGAAGCGCCGATGCCAATTACTCAACGCTTGAGTTGCATGTAACAGTCACCTGGAAAAATCTGAACTCACGTGCGACCAAAAAGAGAAAATCAAATAAACGTGAAATGTCATTCCAAGAGGTCTCCGCTTGTCAGACCACAGGTGGCCTGATTCAAAGTGGCATAGGTACAGAGTGATGCACCCACTGCTCGGAAATACTGAGTTACGAACTCCCAACACTGACAAATTAAACGACTGCACTTCCGACAAGAGCTTCTGACACATCAAGAGAAGCTACTAGTAAAGCAACTCTCGTGACAGGTGGATTGAATTGTTATTGTCATTGTCATGTTGACATGAAGCCTGGAGGATCGGCTAAAGATGAAAGGAAACTCGCGAGTGAGTCACCTGCTCTGAGAAACACATCCAGGGTAAACATCGATGCGTTCTGCATAAAAGTGGTTAATAGAATCAGTTCGCTCAGCCTCCTTTTGCTGCAGAATGAGGTCAGGGAAGGTAGGCTTTAAGTAGGCTGCGTTGCATTGCTTTTTAAGAGAACTGAAATCTTGTGAAAGTCATGTTTTATCAAGATCTTATTTCAATGGAAAGATTTAAAGGAGCACTCCAATTCCCTTGAAAACAAGCTAATTTTACAAGTCACAGAGTTGAACAGTTGAGTCTGACCATTTTTGTATACGTTCAGCTGATCTCTGAGACTGCTGGGAGCACTTTTACCTTAGTTTTTTATAATCCTTGATTAGATTAGACCATTGGCATCTTACTACTCCTATTTAAAGCTTGACTATTCTGCAGTTACACTGCGTATGAAGACTGATGGAAAAGCTAAGTAACTATACTCTCATTTTGGAGTAATAATCAAGGAAGTTTGCTGCTGTACCATAGCTGCAGCAGGTGTATTGATGTTACACAGCATCCGAAAATAGTCTCGGGCTAGGTAACCAGGCAATAGCGCTGCGTTATTTCATTGTGCCTGCTTCAGCCATGGTCCAGCAGCAAAGTTCCTTGATTGACTTTTAATTTCAGTCAATATTAGTATACAATGTAACTACAGAAAAGTCAAGCTTTAAATAGGAGAGCTACTATTTTTTTTTTTTTAATGAGCGAGATGCTAATGCTTCAGTTTATGCTAAGCTAAGGTAAAAGTGCTCCTGCTAGACCTGGAAAGCAGCTGAATAAACTCAAAAATGGTAAAACTCAATTGTTCAACTCTACAGTACTTGTAAAAAGTGAAAGTGTAGTGTTTAAGAAATAGAGACTGAATCTTCATGTATCTGAACAGTGGTAAAGAGAACTGCAAAACGACGTCCTTGACATTCAGAGGACAAGACAAGCAGGCCTCCTACCAAGCTCAGTCCGACTTCCGCTCTCTAAGGAGATTGCTTGCATCCCAGCCAGGGTCTATGCTAGATCTATTTTTGGACCTGACCCTCTGAAACTTTGCGGGACGGCAAACTGGAGCTCACCCACTCAGGGTTCACAACTCTTTCAGGCTTGACTCAGAGGTGGGCTGCAGTAGGAGTCCAGGAGGACCAGTGAGTTTCACTGCAACTGCATCAGGCAGCTTATATTACCCAACACCAGCCAAGGGTGGATGGAGGATTACACATTTACGACCACCTGCAGATTAGGAGTGCCATCTTGCATAATAATTTACTCTCTTTCTGCACTAAAATCTTGTCTATGCTCTCGTTTTGAATGCAATAAATCAGCATGTCTACGCAAAGGAGGAGAGAAACCTCAGAAAAGTAAGTTAGGAAAATTTGTTTCTGGTCTCTTAATGATAAATGTCCAAGGTGAAGTGCTAGAAATAAAAAAAAAAATACATAGAAGTGTCAAATTGACTAATGCATAATGGTCAGAGGTAAAGTGTCTCCCTCTCCTTTGTGATTTTAAATGGAGAACTATGTTACCCAAGGTGAGGCATAAGGTCTTAACTGCAGAGACAGCAGACTGACCCAACACCAACTCTTCAGGTCATCTCTAAAGGTCAAAGACTCTAGGAAGGGATTGAGAATCAATTGATGACAGATGGTCCTTCTGTGATCATCCTCACCAAAGAGTCTGTGTAACTACTATGGATCTTACTTAATTAAGCATACTAAGGATCAAAGAAACCTAGTAGGTGAAATGAAACGATTCCACAAAGCAACACAAACTCCCATCTTTAGTCTAACTAAAGGTTCTTAACGGTCAAAAATAAAAAAAAAAACAGTAAGATTGACCATCCAACCAAAGCTCAAGCCTTTTACCAGAGTAGAAAACGTCTGAGCGCTTTAATCTGACAAGGACTTAAATGACATCCTAAGTATCTTGCAGTACATTTGTGCTTTCAACCAACCCAAGAACCATTCTTGTGCTCCAAGAAAAGAAGCACTCGCTGTGAAGAGTGTGGGATGGATATGACTGAGGATTGCTTGGGTATTCAACAGAGGTCCCAACCTGTCTAACACAACCAGAGGCGCTTAAATAATAATATGTGACAGTGTGTGAAAATACAGTACCATCACTTGTGGGGAAAGGCTATTGTTGATTATCTTAAAGGGATGGCTTATCCAAAAATTCTAATTAAGTTATCATTTTCTCATCATCGTGTCATTCTAAACCTGTTTGCCTCTCTGAATAATAAAGAGGATATTTTGAAGAATGTTTAAGGGATTTTTTTTGTCCTTACAGTGTTGTTTTTGGACCCAATTAACATTCATTATATAGAAAAACAGTTTTTTTGTGTTGCATACAGTCATACAGGATTAGAATGACATTGAGGTGAGTCCATGATTACACATTGTCATTTTTGGCTGAACTAGCCTCATATCTGCAGCGTCAGTATGATAATGTGAGAAAGCTTCTTATTGTAAGGAGAAGATAGCAAAAATAAAATTAAAAAGGAAAAGCCGCACTATTGCACATTTAAGAATACAGATAATTCAGATGTTAAAAATTCTTAAAATAAGTGACTTCATCTACTATTAGGGTTTTGTGTGTATGTGTGTAAAATATGGTTTCCTAAAGGGATAGTTCAGCCTATGAACGAACTCTACTCACTTTCAAGCTGTTCCAAACATGTATTAGTTTTTGCTGAACATAATAGATATTTTTAAGAATATTGTTGGTAACCAGACAAATCAATGATCCTTATTGATTTCCATAGTATTTTATAGTATTCATACTCTGATAGTCAGATGCAAATGACCAACAATTGGGTTCCAACATATCTTCTTTTGCACTTAACAAAAGAAACTCATACACTGCAAAAAAAAAAAAAAAAAAATGAGTTGCTTGCTTAGATTTCTTTTTGTAGTCCAAATATATAAAAATTGTTAAGTCAAGAAGAATCTTCTATACAAGCAGAACATATTGTCTTGTTTTAAGAAATAATATGACAAAATTAAGCAAGTTTTTCCTTAAAACAAGCACAATAATCAGCCAATGGGGTAAGCAAAATAATCTTATATCAAAAGGAAAAAGAGGATTATTTTTCTTACCCCGTTGGCAGATTAATTTGCTTGTTTTAGGGAAAAAAAATCACTTAATATTGGCATATATATGAAAACAAGACAATGTGATTTGCTTGTCTAGAAACTTCTTGATATAAGAATTTTTAGATATTTGGACTAGAAAAATTACAAAAAATATAAGTAAGAAAAGCATTTTGCGCAGTGTACAAGTACATGTGGTGAAATGCACATTTTTAGGGGAACTATCCCTTTAGTGTGCCGTGTGGCAAATAAAACTAAATATTTCTCTCTAAAGTTTCTCTATCTTTGTTCTTTTTTTTTTTTTTTGCAAAGCCTGTTCATGACATCATAATTGTCGGTCTACTACTGACAGATCTAGCATAGAAAAGCTAATGAACTCGTGCCCATGGACTGCTGCCATCCCACAGAACCAGAGGACTGAGGATGTGGCGTGAGGTTGGTTTGATTGAGATTCCTGAACAATTCTAGAGAACGAAGCTGATAAGGATCAACCTACATTTGCCGTCTCTCAGGAATGGCATCAACTGCAGCCTTGGAAAGAGAATCTGAATGCAAAAGAGGGTGCCATTTTTTTGTTTGAGACTACAGATAGTGTTTGTTTTTGGGTTTTTTTTAAAAGTAAAACACACTGGGATGAATCTGCAGATCTGGGTTGTGAAACAGTAAAACAAAGCCCCATTCACATTTAATGGTGCATCTGTGCCATTGTTATGCCTGATAAGTTGCCTCACAGGAGACAGGGGATTTCATTTGTTTTCCCTTTTATGTTCCATCTCGGCTTTTAAATTGCACAGGCTAATGTAAAAGCCGGCAAATGCGGCGGATTACACGAGCTATTACTGCCACTCTGCCCTCAGAAGAAGAAGGAGCCGTTTGTCAAGGACTAGACAAAGTAATGAGTTAGCAACTTATTGCCTTCATATTTTTTCAATTTACTCCTAAGGAACAAAATCCGTGCATCTAAGTAAATATATATATCTCTCCAGTCACCCTAGTCTATTCAAGGAAAGTAGAAGTAAAAGAAATATGCTGCAACATCCGTACATTAATCTGCAGCATGTGGAAGAAAAAAACAAAACAAAAAAATGAAGGACCAGAACGCGCAGGTTTGCCAAAATGACTTCCATGGTTGTTCAGATCCCTCAGACTCAAACATTTTGCATTTTTGACCTCTTTTCATGGTGTGCGCACAACCAAACCAAGCTCTCCTTACTCTCGACTAGGTTTCAAAGCAATCTAGAGCAGTTTCACATGACATCTCCCTTCAGTCATCAGAAAAGCAGCCACTCGAGTAGCTTATGGGCGTTCATCACTTCAAGATACTGTCAGCCTTTGAAAGAACACAAAGTGCAGGACTGCTGGTGCCTCACCTGTTAGCTTACACTTAGTATTTGAATCAGTCTTCAGTCTCTTTTTATCAGGGGTCAGAGAGCAGACTTCCTGTAGGGGTATTCGGGTTTATTGGGGGATCTGCGGTCTCGCGCCCCCAACCCTCCCTCATCCCCAGTCCCTACGTTTGCCCCTAAACCCAACCCTATTCCCTCAGGAGGGGGTCGTCGACCCGTGGGCCATTCCTCATACTGTTCTGTGGAAGGGCCGAGCCCACAGGTGAGGTCAGTCTCGTTTATAGGCCGTGGCCTCTGAATGGCTTGCACAACACTGCCTTGTGAGACAATGGCCAAGTCTAGTCTTTGTGGAGGCTGTTCCAGCACATCCAGGCGAAGCGATTCTGAAGCCTCAGAGTAGGATGGAGGAGGTGCTCCTCCGCCTGCCTGACGCCCGTGGATGTAGAGATCTGGCCCACTGTATGGAGGCACATGGCGCCCTGGGAACTCGTAGAGATCTGGGAAGTCAGGCTGCGGACCCTCTGGCTTGGGTTCGGCTGCGTGCCGCTTGCGGGAAGAGTGTGGGTGACGGTTGGAGTAGCTGTGGGACATTGGAGGAGCTGTGGAAAGGTGAGGGTGAGAAGGTTCATGACTCTCCACCTCCATAGAGACCTCTGGAAGCCGCCGCTCCTTTAGGGTCATTGCTGAAACACCCATGGCGATGTCCGGCATGAACTCGTTGATAACAGGCTCCATATTCTGCGAGAATAAGTCAAACAAAACAACTGTTATCACTAAAGAAACATGTTATTGAGGTTCAATACTGATAGGGATATAAAATATCCATACAGTCATACAAATACATGCAAGTTTCTCAGTATATCCATACCAACATGCCCACACAATTTGTTATTTTTAATTTAATTGGTCTGCAGTGCCCAAAAAAAGTGTTTATTATCAATAGGCTTTGTCTATTATGGTTGTTTGTAAGTTTTTAGCTGAATCCAACACTGAACTGGGAGAGATTCTGGAAGTTCTCCTTTGTCAAATGATATATATATATATATATATATATATATATATATATATATATATATATATATATATATATATATTTTTTTTTATAAATCTCTGGAACATAATTAAAATTAAATTGTAAACACTTCAGTCTCTGTGTCGTGTCCTTTGGAAGCCCAAATACCGAAACAGAAGAAGCTTTATGGAAAAGCAGCGTTTGGACGACATTTTAGCTTTCTCTGCTACAACATTACAGCGTCTCTGGCCACACCCCTTTGCGGCGCAGGATGTGTGCGCGTGGTGAATGCGCGTAACCTTAAGCATTTGTGATCTCAATAGCCTTTATATATTTTTTGCAGTCCTCAAACATCGTTCACTGTAGGCTTTGCTAAGCTAACTCCGTAAAAGCCAATGTCTCACTCTGCATTGGACTTTGAGCATTTTACATTCAGAGATGTTGTTTATGTTCACAACTGATGTTTAAAATATATGATATCATAGTGGACCATCCCTTTAACAAAACATTGGGATATTTCAAAATAAGCCAAAATAATACTTCAAAAACTGTAAAAAGTCAAAAAGATGCATAAGCAAACGATTTAACATTTAACAATGTTGAATGTAATCCTAAGCAAAAATCTAATTTAAAAACAATTTTTATGTACTGTATTTATAAACTCATATTTTAAACCAAAATACTTTTTAAAATTACACAATACAGAGTAGCCAAACATATATATTTAATATATATTTTAAGAAAAAAATACAGATTAGCCTGTCAGTGCAGTTTATATAACATCAACTACAGAATATTGGTATTAATCACCATTTGCTTGTCAGGATGAAGATTCCTCCCTCCCTGTGCATTTGTGCAGTCTGGGGGCAGAGGCTTGGCTCCAGGAGGATAGACTGGGCTGCCCATTTTGGAAGAGGCCTGCCTGTGAAGGAGTGCATGATTGCAGGGGTAGGAGAAAGATCTGGAAGGAGGCTGGCTGGGGACCCGAGGTCTCCAGCCTGCTTTAAATTGCTGCTGGCCATGGCCCGGGGTGGTGGGGGGATGGTAGGGGGGAGGAGGTGGGGGCAGAGGGGGGTGGAAGCCCACCAGAGCCTCCAGGTCTGTGAACATGCTCTCCACAGCTGGTGTACTATTGACCCGGCAGCGACCTGACTGGCGCAGGGCCAAAACGGGACTCTCGTCTCCAAAACGTTCCTCAGGAAAGAATTTGTGCGGATTCTGAAACACAGAATACGTAACCGTGAGGGCATGTTTGTGCTAGACGTGCTTTAAAAATGAGAATTAATAGGCTGTCTGGTATGCTGAAGAAGCTTCGACTCCTTCCAAGCTTTACAGCATAGGTTCTCTGATCATTTAATGGTGAGAATAACAACATCACAGCAATTTAAGAACTCAGGGCACTTCTAAAGCAAGACAACAGTACCTGGAGAAAACATTCTGATTGAAGCAAGATTAAGTGATGCAAAACACAATAAGCTGCCTTTTTGCTACACAAAATGTTCACAAATGACTGTTGGAATTCTCCCCTAGTGGCAGCTGGATTGAACTTTCATTATAATTGTGTGCGTAAGAGATAAATAAGATAGATAAAGATAACAAACAAACAAACAAAAAGTTGTCAGGTTATTTAGAAATAATAATATTTCTTTACTTTTAAATAAGTATGGTTCATAGGGCAAAATCTCAATTAATTGAACAGTTTAACTCAATTACGATTAATGAACAATTATTTGATTTATTTAAGTTTTGTACAGTAAATATGCTATTTTCAAATATTATTTGAAAATAATTGAAAGAAACATGCACTGCTATCTATGATTATCAATTGAACGTCAACGTTGTACAACTGAAATTAAAACACACGTTGCCTAAAACCAATTTCTAGTCATTAGTCATTTCTTAAATAGCCTGCACATTTAGAACCAAAATTAAGTATTTTCAACGATAAATTGTTCATATTAAAAGTAGAAAAGAAGCAGTATCTCTCCTAAATAAAATAACTCTTGTATATCCTGTAAATAATATTTTAATAATATTATAATAACATTATAAATAATAATAACAGTGCATTTACAAATATTTTAATGAAAATAATAATTTTTTTGTAATGGAAAATATGTTGCTACCAATCATTGTCAATGTAGTGCAAGCTTGCGACGTGTAGTTACATTTTTTGAGCAGCGCACAGGTATGTGACCGCATGAAGGCTGCACCAGACCATACCCTTGCTTTCAATGCAGAAGTATAAATCAGCCTTAACAGAGCGAGGTCACGAGACTTCACACGTCGTAAGCAAAAGAATTGAAAAAAATTGAACTAGAAAAATTAGATTGATTATAGGTTCTGAATGTCGATTTTAATTACTTTGTGATGAATTACCCAGCCCTAATGGTTCATGTGACACCAAAGACTGAAGTATTAAAAGGACATATGCAGGAATCCTAAAGGCAATTTCAACACCTTTTAAAGACTTTTTAAAAAACCTTCTCAGAATATTTTAAAGCCTCATCGCCACTTTAAGTTCTAATCAGTATCAAACCTTTAATGTAATAAACAGTTATTAATAAACAGTTGTAGTAAAATAAATAAATGGAGCACAACCATGCAACAGAACTCAAAGCGTGAAAGAATAAATTATGTGGTTGTTTGCAGCGACAGGCTTCAGCCACTGTTTAACTCGTCATCTCCAACCAGCAGTACGCAAACTTACAATTTCTGATTTTGCCATTTGATTCACTTTGGTTTCACTAAATGTGAAGAGCGACACATCACCTTGACCATCACCACGCATGTCACAAATTACCTGACACCACCTAGACAGAGGAGCTTTGCCAGATGCACCCCGGCCCGAACCAATCAAGTGAAGCAAGCACACTGTTGTTAATATTAGGAGAAAAATAAATATATTCATGCTTTTTTTTTAAATACTTTAGACAACGCTTGAAAAAAATTTAAGAGCTCGTAAATATGTGATTAAGATTTTTTAATAACTTTTAAGGGCCTTCTTCTCATTATTGATTTATCAACTTTTAATACCCCGTGGACACCCTGATTAAATATATGGTACATTAAAATAGCAAACAGTTTGTTAGCTTGTATTATTTTATAGCATTACTGTTTTTAACATGATATTTCATTAAATAAATGCAGCCTTAATGAGCATAGGACACCATTTTTAGAAAAAGTCACATTTTTGTAGTGCATTGAAGATACAATCCTATCTGAACGACACATTTTTCTCTTATTTTCACATTTTTGGGAAAAATTTTAGACTGGAAAATAAACCGTATCCATCAAAGGCCGGCATAAAACTAACATGAAAGTCAGAGTGAGAGTCACGGTAGCCATAGCAACACTTGTCAGTCTCCACGCAAACAGGATGTGCTGGTTTACCTGTAGGAGTTCAGCAGCCCCGTCTGGCAGGCCAAACTCTCTGAGCACACGGATCTGCAGCTCATAGCTCACTGTAGCGCCTTCACCACAGTTCAGAGCAAATGCTCGCTGCACCTGATCTGTGTGACGCAGCTCCTGCAGCCTACGGATCATTTCCTTCACTACTGCCAACCTGGGCACTGAAGGACAGATGGGGGAGAAGAGCAGAACAGATGACTCGAGTTACAATTAATACCCATGAATAACTGCATCAATTAATAACAGTACATATTTGTTAACAAACAATATTAATACGTGATGGGCATATATATCAGTCTTAAACAAACCTATGTCTATTATTAAATCGGATTAGATTTGTGTTTTACATAACACACACTGAATCACAAAGCTTGCCAAATACAAGGCCAATGTTCCCACTCACATTAAATACACCTAAAAAAATAATAAAAACACACACTGAACTGGTTTGTGCAAAAGAATAACAAAATTACCTTGAGGAAATAACGTTCCATGGTTTGATTTATCAGATTTACAACTACATCTAGATTAGGACATAATCTATTTGGCCTCCACAAAGCATCTCTCTAAAATCACTTGATTGTGAGTGTGACTCATTTCATCAAGCATAGCTGAGTTCTGTCCACAGATATACAGAGCCCAGCATGATTAGCTTTGGACTTGAAGATTGGCTGAAATAACACATCGTTACGAGCCATGAATGAGTGCTTAACCCACCTGGTATCTCATTAGCAACCACAGACGGCGGAGCTGATTGGCTGCCAGCCATTTGCTGGTGGTTGATCATGTGACAGCACTGGGGGACGGCATTGTTCACCATGTACAGTGTGTCAGGCACGTTGGACATACGAACCATGCGCAACCGAACCAGATCGGTCTGCTCAACCATCATCTCCTCCAGAACCGCCTGGAGAAACACATGTATGCAAGGCTTGATGCAAGTGATAACAGTAATTAAAAATTATCCAAGTATTCCATCAAGATTATTCCATACACAAAGTCAAAATCTATCAGAATTTACTGAATTTGCATATTGAATTATTTCTATTGTATAGTATCTCAAACTAAATAGATAGTTCACCCAAAACTGAAAATTCTGTCATAATCTACTTATTATTCACTTGTCTTAAACCTGTTTAAGTTAATTTTTTTCTGTTGAACACAAAATAAGACATTTTTTAAGTCCCCGGTAAATCAAAACTACATATGATCTTGTTAGCTTACATTGCCAGTTTTGTGGTGAACAATTTATCTGTGCATGTCATTAAGAAAAAAATAGTTTACCCTTCTAATCTTGAATTGAAATTTGAAAGTGCACTTTCTGTTTGGTTTCAGTTAAAATGTTGAATTACGTGATTTTTTTTTACGTGATCGAATATTACGAATGTTCGATTGGGCGGGCTAACATACTTGACCACGCTGGTTCAACTTTCAGTTTTGAAAACAAACAGAAATGGTGAGCAGGAGGTAGGGGTGTCAAAATTAATTGTTTCTTTGGTGCATCGTGATGCAGACACAGACCATTCGGTATCAGTTCAGTAATAGATCATAACCGGTTATTACATACTGATGTTATTTATCTCATATGCGCTATGTCGCGGTAGCTTACTATGGCGAGGGAGGAGACCGCAAGTAATTAACACAGTCTAATTACTTAAAAATGCAGAAACTCTGTACAACTCACTGGGTTTAAGTTTGCTGGACAGTCATTTACTGACACTGAAGTACAGCAGAAGTATTTTACTGCAACTGAGAAATTGAAAGTAAACTCCATTTCTCTCCCTTTCTTACTGTGGACATTTGACCTGCTGGTGTGACGCAATGTTTCTTGTCCTTGGCTGTTACAGTGATACTTCTGGAGACAGACATGAGAGCGTGTCTGCAAAGCAAGTTTTCTATCATGGATCAGCCGTTTGTTAATGAACGTTTAACGATGAACAGTGCAAAAGCATTAGAGCCAATTGCAGCCCTTTCTGTTGAGCAAGTGACTGTTGAGCATAGGTGTAAGAACTTTGTCGACAGGGCCCATAAAGCTAGAGGGATATTTACATTTGTTTATTTGCTGCAAATTCTCATGTTGTTCTGTGCATGTACTTGAGTTTTTAAAGGTACAGTTCTGACTGTTTGCATTAAAGGACAAAATTGTATTACAAATAACATAAATATATTTTTACATTTTAATATAAGAATTCATGTGCTGTGAAGTAAAATCTAAAATTGTTTATGGAAAGCGTCAATGATGCACTAAGATATCGAATTGAACTGAATTGATAACATGATAATCATACTGAACCGTGAGACCAGTGTAGGCTCACACCTCTAGCAGGAGGTATCTGTTTTTAAACCCCTTTTCTCAATCTTTCTGAATGAAATCCCCACTTTTTTACAGCCCGCTGTAAAAAACAAACAAGCCCACTGTTTGCTCATTTTAAATTCTGTCTCTCTAGAAACTAAGTAACAATCCGAAAAAAGAAAACAATCACAGCTTCCGATTCATTGAGACTTAAAAATGTTGGAAACCACTGATGTCTGTAGTATTTGTTATTCCTGCTATGGATGTAAATGACTACAACTTTCTAATATTATTCAAAATATTGCCTTTTATGTTCATCAGAAAAATTACTCCTAAAATTTCCTAAAATTCAAAACCACTTGAGGGTGAGTAAATAGTGAGTCAATTTTCATTTTTTGGGTGAAATGTCTCTAAGTCATTAAAAATGTGCTTGGCTGATTAGCCTAAGTATTTGGCTTATTGACTTATAACCCAGTGATCTCTGGGGTCACTTTTCCAACCTGCAGTAATTCATGTTAATGTTCTGATGAGGTGAGAAAGAGTATCTTACCTTGGCCTCCTCCACATAAGGAGAGAAGAGGCGTGGGCGCACATAAATGCCAGCACTCTTCTGCCGGAGCCAGGCGTTGGCTTTGCCTCCCTCTGCTGTGGGCAGCATGTCAGATGGAGGGGTGCTGATCAGACCCCTCTTCATCTGTTAAAGGCAGAGCAAATGTCTTCACCAATACTTCATGAGAGTGGTCAGAAAGAATGATGAAAAGATGAAGTCATCTGCTGCTTAAGTATTGGCACTCTGAATCTTTTTTCTGGATATCAGGCATATTGCATAACACTATACTCCAATACCCTCCAATATCAACATTTTTATAATTAATGTATGCTTTGCAGAAAAAAGTTACATATATAACTTGTATGCAGCATCAGAAATGTCTTTGTATTTTAAGGCCCCGATAAACCTCAAACGAAATCAAAGAATGAACAGAAATGATCATTTAGAAATAAATCTGTCCAAAACCATTTAGAGTTTGTTTCAGCAGTTTGAAACTGCTTACCAAGGTAACATTTTGGAAAGTCCATTATTATGCCTAAACACTCCTGAGCTACCATTAGTCAGTGACGATTATGGTATCAATGAGCTGCACCTGTGTGATGACTTGCAGAGAGATTTAAAAACTTGGAAGGCATCACACATAGGAAGAGAAACACCACCCAGTTGTGCCACATCAATTAAAGTACTAAACATTATTTTCTATGAGTGTACACACACTGGCAGTGACATTCGGTGTATACCCATAGCTAATGGAAAATAATGTAAAGATGAGGCACACAGCGGTGGTGTTTCCAATTCGGTTCGCAAGAGGCTAGAGAAGGCTGTTTGCCGGATGTTTATGAAACTGGGGTATTAGGAGTTTGTGTGAGCAGGGTTTTCAATTTTTTTTTTGCACTCAAATTAAGACTGAAAATAACTTTGTTTATCAGGGCTGTTACAGACACTTACAGAGCACTCAATGTACTAAATGGGCAATATGTAATTAAATTCTTAATTAAAATAGTTGGCATAAGAATATTTACTAAATATAGTTATATAATTTCACTTAGTTTCCAAGGAAATACTTCTCAATAAAATCACCACTTTTAACATTTTGCTAAAGAATCATTCAAATACAAGCTCTAAAGTGACATTGGTGAAGCAGCAATTGTTTCTGCTGTTCTGATCGTCAGCTGCAGATGTGAATGAGTGGCAGAGGAAAGTCGTTCCTCTCACAAAAGGGTTTTTGAGACCCACATGTTTGATTTTCTCTTTTATAAACACGATTATTCTGTCGAACTGTTGTATACATGCAATATCACACTTGTAGCATTGCGATGTGGCAGTGTATCGTCACTGGTGGGGGCACCAAGGCACTCAGCCTGCGGTCTTGTGTCAACGCACACCTCCCACCAGTGCCAATCTACAGCTACACAAGCTCATATATTTTAGTATCATAGTCATTTAATAATAATAAAAACAAAAAGTACAGACCCCAAACTTTTAAACAGTTTTAAACTACATTTAATAGAAGCTGCACGGAGCTAAAATGCATTTTGCATGCTTGAAAACTCTGTGACTCTCCCTTAATGCTCCTGTTTAAACTGTAAAACCACGTTAAACACACTCACCGTGTCAGAGAGGACCTCACTGTTGGCAGGTAATATGTGCTCAGTTCGGACGAAAGGCAGCAGCGGAGAGAGAATCTCTTTAAGCTCTTCTAGGTCCAGATCCCTTCTTTTCACGCCACGTTTATTCACACTATGTGCAGTACCACTTAACAGGTTAGGTTCTGGGGAACACAGAAAGGCAGAGCTTTATCCACATTTTTCCCACATCCCGTGACACTTTATGTGAATTATAGGAGTAACTTCCCAACAAACAGACAAAAAAGAAAAGTGATAAAAACAACTGAGTACAATGTTCTCAATTCATTCACTATATTAAAAGGCAACTTATTTGTATTTATTCTGAACTACTCTCAGCAGAGCATGAATAACCTTAAAATCTCGAAACAAGTCTTTATTATGTATCAATATTATGGATGTGTTAAATATTACTGTACTGTACAATAAGAATATAATCTTTAGGAACAAAATTAAGTGATCTCAGAGACACAGATATGCTTGTGATACTAATGTCATTTTAAAAACACGAAGCATAACGATGAATATAAATAAAAGCACAAAGCAAAATGTACCTGACCCAGTTTTCACAATGGATTATTAGCAACATAACCTTGATAACAATTAAAATGCTTTGTTTGAGTTCTTTTTAATGGAAGTTCCCCATACTCTATCATTTGAAACACTGTAATCACACAAAAGTGGCTTTACAGTAAAGACGAGCATTTGAGATGGAGGAAACGGTGACCCAACTCTTCTATCCCACAATATAAATTAGACAAAGATGGGTGTGTGCGTCTTCTAGAGGATTAGCCGGATCACTATGCAGCTCCACTGACTGCTGCTGTGCCCTTGAGCGAGGAATTTAAGCTGCTCTGCTTCAGGATGCTGCACTGCAATGGACCCTGAATCACTATCTACACCTCAGACAGCAAATTAGGATCATGTAAATAAAGATTGTTAATGACAAAATGAAGGTGTATTGTAGCACTGCTGTTTCCTTCTAGAATGTGTTTCGGGAGGGAAAAAGCAATCAGGGGTCGTGTTTGTGGTTTGGCAGCAGCTATAAACGTTCGAGGCAGTGTAAGCTTGGGTATATTTGATTCTATTGGGTACACAGAGCGGATGCAGACCCAGGTCTGGAGCCGCCAGCCATATGCTACGCTTCTGTATTGCAGAGCACTTGGCCTGAATTCTCAGTTCTGAGCCAGTCAGAGTCATTACTAGACATTAGGAGGATTGGGGAATAAATCATTAGACTGGCAGAGTTCAGACCACCATCTATGGCAAGAGGTGGAAACAGGGATTGATTCAGCGACAGAGAAACAACGTCTGGCCCACAATAAAGTGTGTTTAAAAAAACGGGAACCAAAGCAATTGTTCAGGCAAAAATAACGAATGCTGTCATCTGTTAAAAAGTAGTCGTTTGACAGAATGTTTGAGTTGCCCTGTTCCATACACTGAAGATGAATAACTAACGAGCTCAAAAATCATCATAGTATCAATATGATTTACAAACTACAAGTTGGAACTTGGAACTTTTTACTGTGATTTTATGTAATGAAACAGTTTTTCAAGTTTGACAGTCCACTTTAATCATTTATATTTTGTATAATTAATACTTTTCAGCAAACTCAAAAGCATTTTTGAAAAAAAGATGTGCTATAAATATTTTTATAATGTTTAATAATTAAAAAAAGCTTCAAGTTTCAAGCATATAATGTTCTTGTTTAAATAAATATAGTGTTGGAATCACAGATAGAGGTTATACAAAAATTGCTTTCATTAAAGATGATTTCAGTCCCCTCTTTTGTTCTTGAAGAGATTTTCTTTCACTAACGTGATTAATATTTTTCTTTCTCTAATGTTGTGAACTTCATTTTAGTAATGGGTAAATATCATATTCATTGTTGTAAATTTAAAACATGCAGACCCTCTTTTACCTTCTTTCTGAGGTAGAGAAAGTGACTCAGGTTATTGTAATGGTAAACATGCCTTGCGATGTTGATGGTTTTGTGGTGTACAATTATTGCAACAATAATAAAAAAGAAGTTATTTTGAAATCACAGGTGGCGACGTGGTGGCGCAGTAGCCTCACAGCAAGAAGGTCGTTGATTCGAGCCTCGGCTGGGTCAGTTGGTATTTCTGTGTAAAGTTTGCATGTTCTACCCGTGTTCGCATGGGTTTCCTCTGGGTGCTCCGGTTTCCCCCACAAGTCCAAAGACATGCGGTACAGGTGAATTGGGTAAGCTAAAATTGTCCATAGAGTATGAATGTGAATGAGAGTGTATAAGTTCCCAGTGATGGGTTGCAGCTGGAAGGGCATCCGCTGCGTAAAACATGTGCTGAATAAGTTGCCGGTTCATTCCGCTGTGGCGACCCCAGATTAATAAAGGGACTAAGCCGAAAAGAAATTGAATGAATACATCATAGGTTTCACAAAAATATTAAGAGTCACAACTTTGATGATAACAATAATTTTTGAGCTTCATATTCAAATAATTAGAACTATTTCTCATGAATCACTTTTTATAGTCTTTTAGTGCCATATCAATGTCTGTGAGCGATACCTCTATCAGCCATCCTCTTGATGAGCTGGTGTTCGCCCCACTTTACAACATACTTCAGGATGTCCTGCTCACTGGCCTGTGAAAAGGGGAGAAGAACAGAAAAAGTTTATGTTACTGAATTTAGCCAGCGCTGCAAGGCTGAAGGAGCTGCTTGAATACAAGCTTAAAGATGGTGTATATATAATACAACAGCAGAACAATCTCCACAAGAAAAACAGGATATATAAAACCACAGCAGAAGGTCCTGCAGGTGCCAGGTGAAACCTGAGCAAAATGATTTTGCCACTATCTCATTCTTTACTGAAAATATTGCACAGCTCAAATCTCATTTCACCCATCAGCAGAAGCAGATCCAAGTTTAATAGATTAACCCTTAAACTAAATTACATTTTTAATATCAGAATCTCCACACTTGTTTTTAAATGTTATTTTTTGCTATATATTTAAATGCAGACTGAAATTCAGTGACGACAAGGAGAGAGGGGGAATGGGACCTAATTTTCCTTCTACACAAGCTAGAAAAATGCTTACTGATTGCAATCAGATTAAGTAATTGCATCTAAACCTGTAAAACAAGCCAAACATTCACTGATATTTACAGTTTTTCCATGGCGATGACCATGAATGATTCATTTAATCTCACTTTTTGGAGGCTTAGTATCTGTCAAACTCGCACTAGTCTCTGTTTACAAATTGTCAGTCACTGCAGGGATTACACCATATCAACGGGTTTGACCCGAGGTAGAGTTAGCGAAGACTTGTAACCATCTAAGAGGGGAGTGTAAAGGTGCTAACAGACTTCTGTGTGCCAGGCTAAATCCCAGATGGGGTTACAGCTCTCCATATAAGCTCACTGAGGAGACGCAAAGAGGTCATCTGATACGGCTGACTCATTTGTCCAAAGACAACAGCAGACGACCTTTAAGAGAAGAGAGACCTGATCAACAAAGATCGATAAACAAACTGATACTAACACTCACTCTCTTGTCGGAAACCGATAGGCCCAAAGCCCTGCAATGATTTGTGGATTGAAATAAACACAAATTTCCCAATAGTGCAATATGATTCAGTTACCGTGAATTACCTCTGCATGTTTCCAGAGACAAAATAAGCTTGACCTTGTCATAACAGCACAGCAAATATGTGCAACAGACTTTACAGTGAAAAGGTTTAAAAGACTGAGTGAGAAAACTTCATTTAAATTTAAATCACATCAGCATTTCCCAACCTTTTCCTCAGGAAACTCATTTTCAACAAGCCATTTCCTCCCAAAAAACACCTATTTATTTTTATTTTTTTTGCACAAATGAATATAATTTGTAGGATCCAATTACACACGCTGTTTAAGCAACCTTTGAGAATAACAAACAGTTATTATATATATTTTTTACTTATCTTGCCCTTGTAAAATGTTGTGCCATTTCCCCCCCAATAACATAAAATTTAATTAACCTAGAAGGTCATAAACATGCCTGCATATTGAAACTCTGGAGGTAGAGCTGTGGAATATAATCACTTTTACGATGCATTTTTGCAGTGCTTACATATTAATCTTTTTAAATCCACCTACATTAAGCTCTAATATTAAAACCGAAGCAAGCGCTTCTGATGTTCAAACCATTCTGACAGAGACCGCATATTTTCAAAGAAAAACAACTTACTGTAGAAATGTTTTTAGATAAACTTACATACATGTTAGCTTAGCATGTTTCTTAAATATTTGCAAACATATTATAGCATTTTTAAGCTTTACAAATATAAAAATTCTGCACATTTAATGTTCTTTTTCCCCTACAAACTACTTTTGAAAACTAAATATGATTTTATTTTTAATTCTATCAAATGTACACTTTGAATTTAAAATTATCATAATTATAGCATTTTTATTTTGCCATAACTCATGATCTTACCATGACCTGTTGCATAAAAAATAAACGTAAGGCATAACATGATAAATCTCTGCATTTATAGTGCTGATCATTTAAATCACAATCATCTCCCCATACTGTAAAACCCCAAACTGTCCAATCTTCCGATGGGCAATCCAAAAAGTCAATTGGTGTACGGTCATCACCTGCAGATAGTCAGACTGAATGGCCGCCAGTAGGTGCTCCTTGCTCAGCTCGTAGAGGACGTCCGAGGTCATGACCTGGCTGAACTCCTCACACAGGAAGTGCATGGCCTGCCGATGAACCCATTTAGACCCATAGGGCTGTGAGCTCCACTTCAGGATGGCCACCACCGAGTCCAGAGAGATGCTGTCTGCCACAATGTCTTCACAGCCTAAGACAGATAAACAACATCACCACATTTTATTTAGACATAAACAAGGCTTCAGCTGCTCTTAAGCATACAAATCTGTGTCCAAACAAAGTTAATCAAGATTTTAAAACAAAAAACACGGGTGGTCGATATGCTCTTAGAATATTGGCACCGCTTCCATTTGCCCTCTGAGTGATTTTATCTATTGCTGAAATATTTTTTTCATCACTGTGGCTGTAATATAACACTTCAAAAAAGGTTTTTAAATACACTAGGTATATATTCTACTGCAATACGCAGATATGGGGAAAATATTAACGTAAATGTATGCATTTAAATGTCACTGTGGGAACCAATGAATAATTTACCCAATTATTCCACACGAAAACACTGCTTTATGGCGCTTCAAACTGTGCCTTGAATTACTGATTTGATCTGTTTTGTCTCTTCCATTCAATTCTTTCGGTCTCCTTTTCCAGTCATCAAAGACTGAATGTCAGCAGAGAGGCATTCAGTGCAGTTTAATCAGTAAAATGCCACCGCTTTTTTCCCCCCTGTGCTTGATACAAAGACCCACGGAGCAGTGGAGAATTTCAACTCTAATGCAATCCAAGCCAAGTATCTCTAGAGAACAAGCTTGGTTTTCCCTTTCCAGCAGGCATTATGAGAAATTCTGTTCTGACAATAGTTTGTGTACAGAATAGTGAAGATTTACTGTGTTGCACCCAACAAAACACATTAAACTGATCAAAAGTGACAGTAAGGACTTCTTCAAACCAATTTGCTCTCTTTGTTTTTAACTTTCTTTTCATCAAAGAATGATGCAATAAATGTGTTATGCTTTCAACATCAGATTTAGGCAATAAAACGGTTAATCAAAATGTTTTTGATTGAAAAAAAAAAACATTAAAATGTTTTTGGAAGAATCATGCGACACTGAACGCTAGATTAATGACTGCTAAAAATCACCATTTAAAATGTTTTAAATTAATTAATAATCACTGTAAAACTGGATTTTTAAAAATGTAGCCTTGATGAGAAAAACACTCACTAAAAATGTTCAAACTTTAGAATTTGATTATAAATTTCTTAAACAAACTGACATACTGAGATGCTATTTTCTAGTCACTAATCATCTTAAAATGTACACTATAAAACTCAACAGTAAACTTCATCAAATGAAATGAGTGTATTTAACTCAAACTTTACTGAAAGTAAATTCCACTCACTTGAAAAGAGTTTTGAATTCAGTATTGAAGGTAATAAGTTAATTAAATACTTCATTACTACACCTTAGAGTAAGTTCACAATACTCATTAGTATTAGTTTTTGAACTCAAATGGTTTGTAGCAATCAGTTTCCTCAAATGGTTTGAGTTGCCTTAACTTATTGGGTTTTAGAGTACTCAGTTGTTTTGAGTTCTCTTTATTTATTGAGTTTTACTGTGCTTAAATTGCTTCATTTACTCAATTGTAGTAAGTTCACAGTACTCATTAGAATAAATTTTTTTTTAATTTAAATGGTTTATTGCAACCGGTTCCTTCAAATGGTTTGAGTTACCTTAACCTTTTGGGTTTTACAGTGTAGGGAAAGAGAGCAGCATACATAATACCTGATAAATCACTTCGAGCTACATACATGAAAGAAAATAACATGGTGATGCAATGAGAGTGAGAAATTCCTTAACATGTGAACTACTTCTTTAAGTGTTCAGACACACAGTGCTGATCAGTACCATTAAATATTCAACTACCTGATCTGAGCAGATGCTTTTCTCAAAGCTCTGGAGATGGCATTACATTTTCAAACGACGCATTTTTTAAGTACATATAGGCTGTTTTTCAAGCTTTCAGTATTCATAGAAAAACTCATAAGGATGACCTTGGAGATGTCAATGAAGTGATGAAGCTTAAAATGACAAGCATCTGTTGATTTTCCCATGCCATAATACCTGACTTGCTGAAAACCACAACTTGGACCACACGCTCCCAGATCCCTTTTTGGAAGCACCCGTTCAACTGTCTGTTCATATAATCTAATCAGACAATCAGACGACAGCAATACCCCATGCATTTTGGGATGCAGAGGTGCTCAATATGATATTCTGAATTTTAAACTAAGCATCAGAATGGAAAAGAAAGACAATTTATGTGACTTAGAATGCTTGTAGGCGCCAGACAGGTAGAACCAAGCATTTTAGAAACTGCCTTATAGATGCCAGAGTTCAGAGGAGAAACACCAGCATCATTTGAGCTGAAAGATGGACATTGGTAGGTCATATAATTACTTGTTACAAACACAGTCTGCAGACGAGCATCTCTAAACACTTGGGCTGTAACGACATACTTTAATTACGATTTGATCCGCATCTCAAAACTGAACCCACAATACAATATTATCTCAATATCATATACTGAAATAGTTTCAGATTATTATTATTATTATTTTAAATGGTAAAAAACCCTAAGCATATATGCAAGTCTATATTAATTGCTAAATTTTGTATAGATTGGAGTGGTGGACTTGAATAGGTCTTAGGCCTAGAAGAATGCACAACAAGCATCTTGTTGCATAATGACATACTCACAGGGGTGTCCTTTTTCTCAGTAAGCAAACCCAAATGTGTTAGCTCACGCTTGATTTCACACCTGCAAATATGTCATTATGCGACCTAGTACACAAAGGAGAAATTGGGTAAACAATGTAAGCTTACTCTTACAAAACTCTCGATAAAACTAAACTTGATATCAAATAACACCGTTTACATCAGCGATTCGCATTGTCACATTCTTATATTGTGATATCTCAATATTATGATACGTCATTACACCCCTACAAACAACACAAATCTTGCAACAGATGAGCTACAGCAGCAGCAGAAGAAGAGCACACAATTTGGCTTAAAACTTCTGCGTTAAGCGCACGCCTATGTGTATGCTCCGGCACAGCCTTCCCGCAGTTGCATAGCCCTCGTCATGGCTGACGCCAATGCTGATGCGCACCTCTCAAAAAATATAATGCGTAGCATAAGCTCTGTGATAGTCGGCTTGGTTACTGTGACAAGTGTGGGCAATGATGAAAGCCCAGTGGAGCGAGTGTTTACAAGTGTCGAGTCCCGTGAAGGAGCTCCAAATGCAAACTTTAGTTTTGTGTTTACCTTTTAGGCCCACAAGAAATCTGTGCACACAGAAATTCACAGATTTCTGCAGATTTTTAGCCCATAATAGAGTCTGTTTATTTGTGTATATTTATATTTATTCAGTTTTTAAATAAATTTCAATAATAATATTCACTAATATGAAAAGTGTTCACTTGATTTATTTACAACACAGTTTGTAAAGTAATATTACAATGTCTTTTAGTCGCGCTTTGTTGACCAAATAAGTAAATCTAGACGGATTTGCATTGTAAACATTAAATAAAAGTTTTAATTTATTTCATATATTAAGTTTTTTTGTTTCGATACTCCCAATATAATTCCAGCAAAAATCCGCAAAAAATATAATAGCAATATATATAAAATAGTAAAAAATGTTCTCAGATTGTGATTCTCTGCTGGTCCCCATCTCTGAATGAGCAAGTTTTAGCTACTTGTACGTTAAGGTAGCGTTCAGAAAAAAACTAAACACCCATGAAGAAACTTGATACAGAGAAATATAACATAACCTACAGCCAGCTAGTGTTTCGGAAGTGTTATTACAGAGCAACACAAACAGCATGCAGAAGTATAAATGCACGACTACGAGCAAGGCATGCACAGAAATATGAACCAAAACCAGCCTTTAAACAGTATGATTCCATCTAGTTCTTTGAAGGCTTTAGCTCTTTTAGTAAAAATAGAGCATGCCATGACACACCTGAGTATTGTTGCTTTACATGTCCACCCCTTTAAGACCACAGATATAGTTACTTCCAGCATGAACACATGTCATCTCAGAAAACTCAAATCATATTAAACCTGTTTCTTGGACATAAATTCAAACGGCCTCCACAGTCACTAGATCTCAATCCAACTGAGCACCTAAGGGATATGGTGGAATGGGAGATTCATGTTAAGAATGTTAAGCTGACAAATCTGCAGCAACTGCATTAACGCCATCAAGCCAATATGGACCAAAACCTCAGAGGACATTTTCCAGCCGCGAATAATCTATGCCAAAAATAAAAGCAAAACAGGATCCAACCCAGTACTACCGAGGCGTAACTAATAAAGTGGCCAGCAGGGAGTGTTAATCACAGTATGTAATTAACACACAATTGCATGTCTTAATATCAGCACAAGCATGAATACCTGGAGCTTTGCGCCCATAGGCAAATCCCAACCATAGTGATATTTAAAGTGATACTGAATGAATAAGCCTTTTACATTTCTTACCTTATTCCCTAGAACATGCTAAGGTGAATTATTCAAGACTGAGATGTAATAACAATGTCTTTCCTATTGTGATGGGCACTGTACAGCCTGAGGATGGTGGCTCACATACCTCCAGCCTGGAGCAGGGGGAAGATTAAGAGCAGTACTGCATCTGTTTCACTGCATGACTAGAAACCATTTACAATGCAGCAGCAAAGCAGTGCACAGCATTCCCTCATAAACCCGTCCCAGTTAATTATAATCTCTGCTAGCGGAGCCATAAAGTTGTCAATTTCAAAAAACCTTGTCATATTAGCCTCTAGGGAGAGTGTCACCCTGCATCCAAATATCTCATCATTCTTCATTGACTTTGTGATCAATGAGTAGATTGTTCACGTTAGGCATGAGCACAGAGCAAGGAATCAATGCGAGTTAATGAAAGTTAATGATTAGGTGCGAGGCAAGTTTAAACTGCAAATTTGATTGCAGAACTTACACCAAGGAGTTAAAAATTACTCAAAAAATGAGAAGAGTGTCGTAACAGAAAACCCAAAACTAAAGTCTGCAAAACAATAGCAACATACTGCCGGGAGACTTCGTACAAACAACATGTAAGCATTTTTCCACCAAGTCTTCTGCACTTGGCGTCCTCATTGATGTTAATGAG